CGGCCCCCGCCCGACGCTGGGGCTTCGGCGGCGCCTTTCCTTGGCGGCGGCGTCCCGGGCGTCCGTAGGAGCTCCCGACCGGACGGGCATGGCTTCGGGCACGACTGCCCGCGGCGCGCAGGAACCGAAGAGCGGCCCCCGGCCCAGATCCCGCCCGAGGGTCTCCCGCTACCGGCCCTACTGTCCCCCGGCCCGGGCGGACCCCCGTTCCCGGCAGCGCCCGGGCGAGCCGCCTTCCCCGCGCCGGCCCCGCAGGAGCGACGGGAGATGCTGCCCAAAGCGGAGTCCAGTGACCACATCGCGGCCTGGGCGGGCCCCGCCGTTCCCCGCGCCCCTATGCTGCCCAAGGCCGTGTCCAGCGAGTTCCTCGCCGGCGGGTGGGCGGACCTGACCCCCCGAGCGGAGCTGGGCGAGCTGCCCGTCGTCTCCCGGCCCCTCGGCCAGCTCGGCCCCGGCGACGTCTGCGATCCGCTGCCGGACTGTCCCGGGCGGGCCCCGGAGGACGGCGCGTTCCGGTGAGTGGGGCCACGGGGACGGGGCTCGCAGCACCGCGGGGGCAGCACCCGCTGTGCCCCTTCTTTCTGCTGTGGCAGATTCAGCAGGATTGGGGTGCAAGGCTGCAGGCAAGCTCCCGGCGGGGAGGATGCCTGATGCCCACTGTTCGTGCGGGATATCGTGATAGAGACACCGACTATGGAGTGAGTCCCACCTGTCCTGGCTGTCCCCTAGGACTGGGGCTAGCGTGGCGCTGCTCTCCTTCCCTATTAAAGCGTGTGCCCTGTGATGGAGGCTCCTCCTTGTCACTACCGAAAGAGCCCGTGGGTTCTTTGCTGGTGCCCGTTGCGCAATGGCATTAATGTGCTGTGATGGATGTGGCTTTGCGTTGGTGAAGGACACCGCTGCGGGGCTGCAGCACTGCTGTCACATGCGCTGCCCTGGCCTTTGTGGCTGGCAGGGGCTGGGAACTGAGATCCGGGTCCTTTTCCCCAGGAGCCCAAGCCTTCCTGAGGAAGGGGGGGAAGTGGTTTTCCGGAGACACCCTGTCTCATAGCCTGCGTCAGCTGGTGGTGATGAAGATGAGGGCTTTTTATGCCAGTTTCTAAATTTCAGGTGCAGATCCTGGGGGATCTTAGAGGCAAGAACCTGTCTCCCTCATACAGGAGTTAAGGACCTGGTGTATATGCCATGACTAAGCTTCAGCCTTGACTACTTGTGTTGTCAGCAAAAAGCTTCCTTGGTGGAGCTGGGGGCTTACAGGGTTACAAGGAACCCCTCTGAGCCCTCGTGTTAGCCTGTTCTTCCTCTGTCCTCCCAAGCATCACAGTGATCACCTGGAACGTAGGTACAGCCATGCCCCCAAATGATGTGACGTCCCTGCTGCACCTCAACACGGGGGAGACAAATGATGTGGACATGATCGCCATTGGGTAAGAGGATGAGGTGCGACTCCCCCTTTTCCTTCCTCTTCCCCCTCTAACAAGTCCTCTTTTTGGGGAATCCCCAAAGCCCTGGGAGACAAGGAACAGAAGAGCTGCAGCACCAGCCTCCTGTGGGGCATGGGGAACAGGGAAGGGTGTGCATCACAAATGATAGTGTCAGAAAAGGTGATGGAGAATCAGCTCCTGGTAAAATGGGAGTGCTGAGAGGAACTAAAACCCTTGAAAACTGATTAGACTTGAATCCTCATCGAGCATGAGGCTGGCTGTGCTGGGCCAAGTTAGCCCTGATCTTGCTGTGAGCTGTGGCAGTCCTTGTCAGGTTTGTCAAGGTATTTGACTCACCTGGCCTAGTCTTCTGGGAGCATTCTCCTCCTCTCTGCTTTTGCATGTGGTATGCAGGCCTCAAGGACATAGATCTGCTGTTCTCCTGAGGCTGGATTGGCTCCATGCCCCTGGTACACAGACCAGCTGTCAGGGCAGTGCTACTGTACTGTGGTTGAGGCTGGTGAGGCGAGGGCGGCTGTCTCTTGAGGACTGCAGTGGTGCGTGAATTCTTGCTAAGGCCAGGAATATGCTGTCTTTGCACAGGGAGCAGGAAGCAGCCTCTGCCTATTGGTATGAGGTGGAAGAGCTGGATCTGCCTCCAGGGCTTACTTGCCCCCAAGCTCTCAGCTGCAGAGGGCATAGTGGTGCAAGGGGTTGACACTGCTGGAGCTGTGATGCTGTGTTGGAGCCAGCCTCTCAGTCCCCTCAGTCTTGCAGGCCAGTGGAACGGGTCTGTGTGGGTGACAGAGGTCAACCTGAGCTGGATGGATGAGCTGGGTGAGGGGTGTAGCTGACGTAGGGACCTGCTGGGACCATGTTCTGGCCAGGACACAGTGTCCTGCTACTCCTCACTTCTTGGCATCTCTGCCTGGATGTGTCCTTCCTCTGATCTGTGTCTTTGTGCTCTAAGCACTCGATATTTTTGGGCAAGACATTTCCTGATTGCACTGTTCTCTGTGGACATTTTTCCCTCTCTTCATTAATTGCTGAGCTGGGAGGAGCACTGTTAACTTTCTGGTTGCTGCTGCTTCAAGCTGTGCAGCTCAAATATGTCTGGACACCTCATGCTGTTGGGACATGACTTCTCTGTAGAGACTGAAAGGCCACTTAAGCCCCTCTTGCGCACCGAGATGGGCTTTAGGCTTCTGCTCAACCCTGTGCAGCTTAACTGCTTCTGCTTTAGAAAGGGCCAAGGATCCCTGGATTCAGAGCCACTTGTGCCTCCTGCCAGCACATGGCCCAGAATCACTGGAGCGAAGATATGGCTGGTTTGTGCTCTAAAATCAGTGTCTTCCCTTGAACTGCCCTTCCCACCCTGTCCTGCTGTCCAGCATTGTGCTTTGGCACCTCTCCCAGGTTTTCACTAACTGGGATACATATGCTTTCCTACTGTGTGGCTGAAGGACCCATACATTTCCTCTCAGGCTGCAGGAGGTAAACTCCAAGATAAACAAGCGTTTGAAGGATGCCCTCTTCACAGATCAGTGGAGTGAACTCTTCATGGATGTGCTGAGCCCCTTCCACTTCATCCTGGTAAGGAGTCCTGAAGGAGTTGGCAGCTGGTGTTCTCTCTGCCTGCCATGCAGGTGGGACACAGTGGTAGACCTGGACTGCAGGTTGGAGGGCGGTGTGGGGGGAGAGCTGCCTGGATTTGCAGCCATCTAAGCAGGGACTGCTGCTGCATCTCACCCAGCAAGTTGTTTGGCTTGTGCCACCCAGCTGCCTTTCCTGGGCTTATGCTTCACCTCTGGTGCTTTGGGGTTTACGTTGCCCCCTGCATTGAACCAGGGTGAGAAGGTGAGTGTGGGAACTGGCCGGAGCTGCTGGCAACAGCCTGCAAGACTCAGGGCAGGCTCAGCTCCCCCAGACAGGTTCAGCTCCCCAAGGAATTTGCCTCAGAGCGTATGTAAGCCCAACATCACTGAGGCTCAGGTTTGGCTGTCAGTGTTCAGGAGGGTATGCACAGATCTCTGAACCAGATGTGCTGTTTGTCACCTGTGGGATAGGGGGGACACACAAAGGGTGGAGGTGCTGTCCCATGGCCCAGAGCAGGGCAAGTTGTCCCTCTGTCCCCAGGCTCTCTACCATCCTGCTCCAGCCCTTGCTCCCATTCCAGGTCAGCACAGTGCGGATGCAAGGTGTGATCCTGCTGGTGTTTGCCAAGTACTACCACCTGCCCTTCCTGCAGGACATCCAGACAGACTGCACTAGGACAGGGCTGGGGGGATACTGGGTGAGTGTGGCCCTGGGGGGAGATTGCAAGGGTCTGGTTTCCCAAGGAGTCATGGGATCCTCTTGGTGCAGGGCAACAAGGGTGGGGTGAGTGTTCGTCTCTCCATCTTCGGCCACATGGTCTGCTTCCTGAACTGCCACCTGCCAGCACACCTGGAGAAGGCAGAGCAGCGCAAGGAGGACTTTGCCACCATACTGCACATGCAGCAGTTTGAGGGGCCTGTGGCCAACGGCATCCTGGATCATGAGTGCGTACCTCACCACTTTGCTCCCCAGTCTGGGCTCTAGTGCCAGTCCCAGTCCTTGACCATGTAGGGCCTGGGGGTCTGTCCCCTGCATCCTAGCACAGCTTGGAGATCAGGTTTTGCCTGCAGAGCTGGCCTAGCATGGACTCAGCATGGTGGGGCAGGTGTTTAGGGGAGTCTTGGTCTCATCACATTCAGGGCTGGTACAGCTACTGCATGCACTGTTGGGATTTGGCACCAGTCAGGCAAAGGGGCTGGCTCTGCCCAGGTGTCCTGGCTGTGTGATCTGAATCCAATGGGTGCCTCACTGTGGAAATTTCCACCCTCAGTTTCCGCTTCGGGAAGTCTGGCCTATTTGGCTAATGATGCTTGGTCCTACCTACAGAATCCTGGCAGCTGGCCAGGCTGCCAGCTGAGCACTGACCTGTGCCAGTGTTCCCAAAAGCATCTGTGCTGTGGGCTAAGGCTGCCCCCAGGCTGGGGACATCTTACCCCTGCTGTCCCTGGCTCTGGTAGCCTCAGCCTGTTGCCCTTGCTACCATCCACAGCCTCGTGTTCTGGTTTGGGGACCTCAATTTCCGCATCGAGAGCCTGGACATCTGTTTTGTGAAGTATGCCATTGACAGCAATGTCCTGAGCCAGCTCTGGGAGAAGGATCAGGTGAGGGATGGGCATGCTGCAAGCCTATACTGGACCCCAAGCAATGATGGACTCTCCCCAAAACTGCCCATGCAGCTTGTGGGTCAGGGCATGTCCTCTTGCAACCCATAGGACACGAAGGGCCCTGGTTCTCATGTCTCTGGGGGAGGAAGGGACAGCAGAGTCCCAGGTCAGTCTGGATGGAGCTGGGCACACTTCCCTCATCAGTGTGTGAAGAGCTGAGGCATTGAGTCTAGAGATTAGCTGCTGACATAGATAGGCAAACCCTGAGAGCTGTGGGAACTGGCAGGAACAGGACTGGGATGTCAGTGTGTGAGGGTGGAGCAATCTTGGTGGGGGTTTGTGTAGGGGTCTGGCTGTGGGGGCTGCTGTGCTCCTTGATGTGCTCTCTTCCCCACAGCTCAACATTGCCAAAAGCACCTGGCCTGTTCTCAGAGGCTTCCAGGAGGGACCCCTGAACTTCCCACCCACTTTCAAGTTTGATGTGGGCACCAACAAGTATGACAGCAGGTAGGAGAGTAGAGCTGGGCATGAGGTGGGGCTGAGAGATGCAGGAGCTCTGTGCTTGGCACTCAGCACACAGCTGCAAGGCCAAGTGTGCGTGCTGGAGTGGATGGGTGGGGTAGGCAAAGCAGCCATGCTGGGACAGGCACAGGCTGGACTGGGGTGTGATGGCAGTGCTGGTGCCAGCACAGGCCTGTCCCTGCAGCTGTGCTGAGTGCCAAGATAAGCAGCATCCCCTGCCTATACATGCCATAGTGCCAGGGGGAGGGAGTTTGGGTCAGAGCCCACTTCCCCTGCCAGGCAAGAGATGCCCCTCTGTGCCCTGCAGTGCCAAGAAGCGAAAACCTGCCTGGACTGACCGCATCCTGTGGAAGATAAAACCTCCCAGCAAGGGGTTGGGCACAGGTGGGCACCGGCCCAGCCAGGGTGTGTTGTCAGTAAGCCAGCTGTGCTACTGCAGTCACATGGAATACACCATCAGCGACCACAAGCCAGTAGCTGCCATCTTTGCTGTGCAGGTGAGCACTATCCAGGGCTGCTGGGAATACAGGCAGGAGCTGCAGGGTTGAAATGCCCAGCCTTGTGGCAGGGGGGGACTTAGTTCTGTTTGGAAAGCTCAGCTGCCTTGCCCCTTACTGGGGTCTGCTGTGGGTATATGCATGGGGGCCCTGGGCAGCAGAGGCAGTTTTTTGCCGTGCCGTTGCTCACCATGTACCTGTCTCTGACAGTTTGCTTCCAAGGTGGACAAGCCCCTGGTTGAGATTTATGTGGCTGATGAGTGGAGCAGGCCTGAGCAAGCAGTTGTCAGGTACAAGATGGCTGTTGGCTTCCACCGGAGCTCCTGGGACTGGATAGGACTCTACCGGGTAGGGGCTTGAGGGCTGCTGGGGCTGGAGGGAGTGGGGAGCACTGCACAGCACTGCGGGGTCCCTTCTGAGCTACCCCCACCAGCGAACATGGTGAGGGCATGAAGCTGTGCCCTCCCTTCCCCTGGCATCATGTGGTCCTGCTTCAGGAGGCTCAGGTCCAGCAGTTTCCTCTTCCTCCTGCTCTGTGGGCCCCACAGGGCTCCAGGGCACACCTGGGGGTGGAGCAAGGCAGCTTTGGGTCACCCTGTGTGAGCAGAGGGGCCTGAGCACCAGGAGACTGATGTTGCAGAGTGGGGCTCACATTGTCCCACTCACTTGTGTTGTCCTATGTATTGTACACAGGTGGGCTTTCGGCACCCTAAAGACTACGTGTCCTATGTCTGGGCTAGGAGTGATGATGGGGAGCGCTGCCTGGAGAAGCAGCTGTGTGCACAGGTGAGGTGGGACAAGCCCTGCCATCTTGCTGGCACTTCTGCCCCACAGTGGCAGGACAATGGCCCCTTTGTGCCCCTGACAGAGTAGGGGGATACAGGCACCTCATTATTGCTTTTTCCTGAGCCTGGAGCAAGCTCGCGGTGTTTGTAGCAAGAGATTTGTGGTTTTGGCTGGGACTGGAGGTGGGAGGGGGGCACCCCTGTGCCAAACCCAGTACCCATCAGGTGTCTCTGGGCTGCAGGTGATGTTCTCTGAGGAAGCACTGCCCAAGGGGAATGGCGAGTACATCCTTGGATACTACAGCAACACCTCCAATAGCATCGCTGGTGTGACTGAGCCCTTCCAGGTGAGAACATCCAAGAGGTGAGGGGGGATGAGTATGGGGGAGGCCAGCTGGTGTGGTACCCAACAGTCCCCTGTGAGGGTCAGCCAGCAGTGCTGATGCAGGGGTGCAGATTTCCCTACCCAGGTCAGAGGAGGGCAGCAGCTCTTCGGACAGCTCAGGCAGCAGCTCAGAAGAGGATGACAGTACACTTGTCCTCCTGGCCCCTAAATCCCGTAGCCCCAGCCCGGGCAAGATGAAACGTCACCGGAGCCGAAGCCCCAGCCTGGCCAAGTTCCAGGGCCTCATCCTGCGGCCATCAAGCCGGGACAGGGGTACAAGCCGCAGTCCCTCACCCCAGAGCCGTCGCAGCCTCCCCAGGAATATCCCTACTATCCATCTGCCCCAGGATGAGTTGGGACACCACGCAGGCAAAAGCAAGGAGCTGGGACAGGCAGCCAAGAACCCAGAGGGCAGTTCGTTCTATCAGACTGTGCAGGAGCAAGGTGGCCTCCGGTGTATGTCTCCTGACAGCTCCCTGGCCAGGGCTGACCCCCGGAACCTGGGCCTGCTGCCTGCATTGCGCCTGGAGATGATTGACCAGGCCCTGGGCCAGCGGCAGGAGAGCTCAGACCAGGGCTATTATCCCTGCCGGAAAATGAGCCCCACCAGCCCCCCAGGCTGTGGCACCTCCCCAAAGGAGGGGCACAGCCCCCAGGAACTGGACAGACATAGCTATGCCATGGGCCACTGATGTAGCGGCTCCCTTTCTCCTCCCCATAGCGTGCTTGCTGTGTGCTTTCCTCTGCCACTTCCCTGCTGACGACACTCCCTACCTTATTTATTGCAGTGACTCCTCACCCCTGCTGTGTGCCTGGCAGGTAGAGCCCCCCCCACCCTCACTGCATCCAGCCCAAGCTCCTGCCCTGGGCAGGGCTGTGAGGTGACAACACAGGGGAGGGTGGGCAAAGCTCGTTTGGGGAATCCCTCATGAACTTCCAAGTGCAGGACTCTTGTCCCATGACAGGAATGTTGACCTCACACCTGAGGTCGCACAAGAGGCCAGGGCAGGGCTCTGGCAGGAATGGTGAAGGGCACAGAGCAAGGACCAGCACAGGGTACCCTGGAGATCAAAGCTTGCTCCTTCCCTGCTCTACCACTGTGCCTCAGCCTGAACATAGTGCAAGTGACAAAATAAATGATCCTGCCCACCCCAGCTGCACTGTGCTCACTGCAGGAGGCAGGATCAGCCCCAGGGTGGGGGTCTCAGCATCAAGAGTGGACAGCAGGCTTAACACTTGCACCATACACCATGCTCTGACCACCCTTTATTTTTTCTGCCGCATGCAGGTACTGACCCTAGCCCTCCTACCCTGCCTGGGCAAGAGGGTTGGGATCACACCTCACTGCTCAGGGTCCCCAGCTGAAGGGTCACCAGTGTAGGGGTGGGGTGGCCTGCTACCTGCCCTGTCCCAGGGCACACCAGGGAAGGACAATGGGTTTTCCCCATTCCCTCCTATTTCTTTCCCCTTGCTTTTGATACTCATGGATGGCAGCCACAGCTCCTTGAGAGGCTTCTCAGTCCCTCTGCCTGTGCTCTGGCTGTAGTCCCCAGCTCCGTACCATCATGCCAAGAGCCATGTTCAGTGCCACCCTTGGACTTGAGGACCAGACTCCAGGCTGCAGCTGCTGCACACATCTTCCTCCCCTTCCTTCCCAAGGCAGCATTGCTTGGGTTCATCGAAGCACTCTGTGGGGCCAAGCACGTGGTGTCTGCTGTACAACCAGATGCTGGCACTGCTCACAGATGGTGCCTCCCCTGGCCTGTGTCTTCCTGTGTGGATGTTTGGCCTTGGAGCTCACACGCAGAAGGCCCCAGCGTCTTAGAATCTTTTTGAGCTGCCGTGCAGGTACAAGCACAGCCCTGGTCACCGTGGTACAGCTGCTGGAGAAGCAAATCTGTGAGCATCACTGTAACCTGGCAGCACCAACATCTACTGCCCCTGCCCTGCGACCTGGTTGTGGCACAACAGAGCAGGGGCCATCACTTACACTACTGGTTTCCTGCCCCACCCAGGCCCTGGCCTCTTGACCTCCCCACTTACCTCTGCTGTGATACTCTGCCTGGGCTGCAGGCAGCAGGCAGCTCCAGAACAAAGCAGTCCATGGCGATATGGTCAGCCAGAACAGCCACGTCCATGTCACTGCAGTCCCTTGCCCTATGGAGGCACCGTGCCAGCCTGCAGGCACAGGAGAGCATGCATCAGCAAATGCTGGCCAAGGCAGACATCCCACCTCCTGTGATCCCCAGCTGTATGCACAGAGTGTCCTTTTCCTCCTGGACTCACACCTGTGTGTGCAGTTGCAGTGGAGGAGTGTCCGGCTGTCCACGTTGTGCAGCTGGTACTTTGCCTCATGGGGTGCAATCTGGTGCTCACACTTACCCAGGTGTTTGTTGCAGCTGCACCCTGTGCCTGAGGAAAACAGGGAGGTAAGGGCCACCCCCAGCACATGACCCCACAAGCCTGAGGCCTTGGGCCACTCTGTCTGCAGTGTGCACATGCTGCCCACAGTACCAGCTCACCCTGCTCCCTGCGCTCCTTCACAGCTGGCATGAGGGTGGCTCCACACTGTGCTGTGGCTGGGCTGGGTCTAATGCTGCCATACCAAGGACGTGCTGAGATTCCAGCTCCTTGCTCTGCTCCAACCACATCCTGTCCTGACACCGTCAGTGCTGTTGCAGGGCCAGGCTCTAACTCCCACTGCACTGCTGGGTGCCTGGTTGTGAGCTCAGCCTTGTCCCTGGCCAACGCTGGGGTACCTGGGCCCTGCAGCTGCTGGGCTGTCTTAGGTCTCCATACCTGGTGATGCCTAGGCTTTGCCCTCAGTTCCTGTCGAAGCCACTTACGCCCTCTTCTAGAGAAAGTCCTTCTTTTGCCTGGGGGCTGCACAGTGGGGCTGCCCCTCTTCTCTGCTGGTAGGCTGGGGTGGTACTGATTCTGCTGCACCATCCTGGCAAGAGGCACTACATCATAACGCTCACACCTGGGGACACCACATGCTGTGAGGTCCTGCACGCCAACCAAACTATGCCCGACGCAGCCGAGCAGGGCACGCTGATGGCCAGGGCACCCCTGGGCACTCACCCGCCCCACCACTGCCACTGGACGCACTCCTCACTCTCTTCCAGCACAAAGCATGGCACCTCCAACAGGTTGAAGAATGTGACGCCAATGATGTTGGAGACGGTGTCGTTGATGGCGAGCAGGCACTGCCGGAACCTGCGGGCAGGGATCGGTAGAGGGCGGGCTCCCCAGGCCCCCCATTTCCTCACCCCGCGGCCCCGGGCTTACCTGGCGTCGCAATCGCAGTGGGACACGGTGTGCAGGCGATAGTTGCGGATGCCGTAGTTGAACTGCAGCGCCGTGATTTGCGCCCAGCACTGGTCGTGCTCCCGACAGCAGCGGTCGGGGCCGCGGAACAGCCCTGCGGAGGCGCCGATGAGTGCGGCCCCGCGGAGGGATACCGCGTGCTCCCGCCGCCCGCCTCCGCTCCGTACCCAGCTCGCTCCAGTTCCCCGCCGAGTCCCCTGCGCCGCACCACAGCGTTCCTGGAAGCGTCCAGCCCCGGCGGCGACGGCGCTGTGGTCTCGGCGGCACGGGGTCGGTGCAGGCGGCGCGGCGCCGCCACAGCGCGGACAGGGCCCGGCGCAGCGCGGCCCCAGGCGCGGCGGGAGGGCGGTGCGCGCAGGCGGCGCGGAAGGCGCGGGCGAGGCGCGGATCGCGACGGGCCCAGCAGGCGCGGAGGCGGCCGGGGGCGGCCCATACGCTCTCGACCAGCGCGGGTCCGGTGCCGGCGCTCAGGAACGCCACGTACCGCGCGCCGGCAGCTCCCCCCGCCTCCCGCGCGCACACGGCCCCACCAAACCAAGCGCGTGCGCATGCGCAGAGCGCCGCGCAAGCCAGAGCCGCCCGCGCCCACATCCCGCAGGCCGGCCCCCCCCCTCGTGCCCGCCTTTAACCCCGCGCCCGGCAGCGGAGCCGGCGCTGATTGGCCCGCGCCCGGCAGCGGAGCCGGCGCTGATTGGCCCGCGCCGAGCAGGCCCCGCCCCGCCCCAGGGTAGAGCGGCGGGTGCTGCGGGGGTCCCCAGCCCCGGCACCTCCTCATCCCGGGTACCGCCCCCATCTAGGGCACCCTCCATTCCCGGGCACTCCCCCATCCCGGCCACCCCCTGCTACCCGCGCTTACCCCACACGCTCTTTCCCTGGGCACTCACGACTGCGTTCTCACGTGCACGACTCTGGATACAGGTGTGTGTGCAGGTGTGCACGGGTGCATGCACACTCACCTTGAGCACACGTGTACGCACGTGTGTGAATGTATGCCCATGCGCCGTGCATGCCCAACCACGTGTGTGGCCGTACAGGCTGTAGTCATGTCCCTGTTCAAGTGTCCACTGTGTGCGGACAGTACACAGAGCACTGTGCTGTCCAGCCCCTGCAGAAGCTGCCCACATCCTAGGACCGCCTCTGTTCAAGAGCTGAGGATCCCTGAGGATGGAACCACCACAGCCCCCGAGGGCAACTCCTACTACTGCCTGATCCTCACAGTACAAAGGTGTTTCTTGATATTCAAAGGAACCTCCCATGTCCCAGTTTATTCTTATTGCATTTTGTTCTAGTTAGTTCTGGACATCACTGGGAAGAGACAAACTCTTGTCTCCTTGCACCCTCCCTGTCTGTGTATTAACAGGATCCCTCAAAATTCCTCTGCTCCAGTCTCCGCAGACCCTGCTCCTACTGCCACTCCACACAGTACAGGTGCTCCACTCACTCCACCACCATCACGGCTCTTTGCTGAACTCACCCCAGCATGTCTGTGCCTTGCCCAGGTGATCCCATCTGGAGCAGCATGGCCTGCCCCTGATGCACCCTGCCCAGCTTTGCCTGGGGCAGCTTGGGCTGCTGCCATGAGGACACATCCCTGGCTCTTGCTTAGTTTGTGCCCAGCAGAATCCCAAGGCCCATCCCTGCAGAGCTGCTTTCCAGCTGGTGGCCCAACTTATGCTGGTACAATATCCCCCTGGGAATCAGGATCTCTCTACCTCTACCACAGGGGCTGTGGGGCAGAGCCCATCCCCCACCCACCCCAGGGCCCCAGTGAAGCATTGCTTAGGGCAGCCAGTGGGACTGGGAATCCTACTGCATCACTACTGAATCCCAAAAGGATGCTGGAACTGCTCTGGAGAATTGGCCCACTGAAGTCCAGATTCACCTCTCTCTGCCCGGAGGGAGGGAGGGAGGGAGGGAACCATGGTTCCTCTGGTGGAATCTTTCTTTCAGGGCTAGTCTGGAGTCATGTCTGTGTCCAGGCTGATGCTCTGCCCTGCTGGGCTTTTGGGGGCCCGGGGGAGGTGGTCTGTGGAATCCCATGTGCCCTAACCTGAGGACACTGGGGGCTGATGGATGGGGCTTGGCAGTGTAGGCTTATTTCACCTTATCAGGATTTCCCTGACAGCAATGCATTGCAGACAGGGCAGAGTCCACTCTGTGGCTGTGATAGGGCTGCTGTGTGCCACCCGTGACATTACCCCAGGTGTCACAAAGGTCTCCCCTGTCCTGGGGGCTGTGTTCATGAAGCTGGGTAAGGCCTGGCAGGATGGGGATGGGCATGCCAAGGCTGGGGAAGGGCTCTGCTTGGAGGTACCCCAGATGTGGGAGAACAAGCTTTCCACCCATAGGGATCCACAGAGCCCTCCTGCCATGGAGGTGCTGCGTTCCCGTCCCAGTGCACCTGGAGCTGCTCTGTGCATGCATTATGCCCCCTCATGCCCGGCACCCTGGGGCTACCCTGTGCCTGGACTGTGTTGGCAGCCCCATGGGCCCCACAGGGAAGGATCCATGGGGCAGCACAGGACAGGTTTGGCTGACAAGTGTATGTCTGCATCAGAGACACAAAACCCAGTTTGGGTTTGTCTGGAAGATAACAGGGGATAAGTAGGAATGTCCAGTGCTCTGGCCTTCACCGCCCAAGCAGCCAGTGGGTTACAGGGCTGCCTTTGCAGCAGAGCTCCCCGCTGTGTAACCATGCAGCTACTGCCCTGCTGGCACAAGGCTGTGTCTGGCTGGACAGTGAGGACATGGGGTTGAGCCCTGGGCTACTCACCCCAACAAGCAGCACTGTCAGCCTTGCACCCGGCTCCAGTGACGTGGCTGAAGGCTGCAGACAAGGCCAGCATGGGGCTAAGCTGCCAAGGACTCAGGGCTGAACCTGCACTGGGGGAGCACTGAGCTCGGGTGGAGATGCCAGCAGTCATGGTTCATGCAGCAAGGGTGGGGAGTGGGTCTCAGCCTGGGTCAGCAGGAGTGCAGAAATGGGCTGGTAAAGCAATTATTTTCTCCTCTTCTGCATGCCATGGTGCATTTGGCCAGCATGGGCATTGGAGTGATGCCTCTTACGCATCCTGCAGGCAGGGGCTGGATGACCAGACTGTGTGAGTGGCTGCCAGACCTAGGGCATCATCCATGTCTCAGTGCTGACAGACACACAGATGTCCCCATGTCCAGTCTTGCCCTTTGCCCCCACCCAGGCAGCAGGACTGGCTCCCCATTGTGCGTGTACCATGCATGCTACTGACTGTGTCCTGCTCATGTCCCCTGGGGACAGGCAACCTTGGAGGGGATGCACAGCTCTGCCTTCTGGAAAAAGAATTGCTGCAGCACTGCTTTAAGCCTCTCTGCTTTCTACTGATCTAAGTTGGAACTTACAGCTTTGTGGAAAGAAGCAATAGAACATCCAGGGCATCCATGGCTCTGAACATAATTGGCAGAACAGGGAAACAATTTCATGAGAGAAAATGTCTTGTGAAGGTTGGAAGACAAAATTTAAGTTGGAATGAATAAAAGAATGGTGCAGTTATTTCACTCCTGAGTTGAGATTATCAGTTCAAGCACTTTGCAGATCCAGGGAGACCCTTGAGGCTCCTGTGGACTCTGGCATACACTCAGAAGTCCCTCCACCCCATGCTGGTTGCTGGGCACTCCCCAGGCTGGCAGACAACACAGCCACCACCGATCTGCCTAGGAGAGCCTGGGTCAAGCTGTGGCCCCATGTGACATCTTTGTTCCATCTGGATTCTGTTCTTTGGCACCAAGACCCCATGCCAGTGCCACCCTATCACGCTTGTGTGGGGACCCTCATCACACAGCAGCCAGGAGTGCCCCAGCCTGCTGCATCAGGCTGCTCAGGCTTTCTATCAGCCTGATGGAGATGGTGGCACTGGGATGTGCTGGGAGTCAGGCTCTTCTGCTGCTTTCGTGACATTTGCCTACTCCCTGGCTGCCCTGTGGGGCTAGAGGCCAAGGTGGTAGGCTTAACTCACCTGCACCCTGCAGTCCTGGCTTTCGGGAGAGCACTGGTTCAGGCTGGAAAGGCACCGGTTCCCATGGGTGCTCAGGCCACCCTGGGCAAGGACAGCCTGACCCCAGGCTATGGGAAGGCTGTGCTGGTTGTCATCATGTAGCATCTGCCCAGAGTTCTTCAAGGAAAGAGCCATCCCTCTAGGATATATTGTCTAATACCATTTTATAGGGGGAAGGGACTTACAGACTACAGAGACAAAGAATTTTCTTCTGTGTTGCCAGATTCCCATTGCAGAAGCAGAGCTGGCTCCATCAGGTATTTTCAGTGTGAATCTAGACTAGGGATGATGGGGATGGTCAGACTCTGCACATCTGCAGGTCCTGCGGCTCACAGGAGCCATCTCCTGCTCTGGGTCCTCAGCCACAGCTGCAGCCTTCTCAAGGTCTTTTCCAAGTGTCAAAGAGCACCCTGAAGGCCCTGGGCAGTCTTGTCTAGGTGACCCTGCTTGAGCCAAGGACTAGACAGCCTCCACCCTCAGCAAGGATGTGTGCCTTGCTTCCAGTGGTAAATAACCAGCCTTGCCTATAGGAAAATACAGAAAGCCCCAAGACATAAGGAACACAAGGAAAACCACCCCAAAACCACCACAAGGCACAGAGGTTCCTTGTAAGAGGATACTGATGGTAGGAGAAAATTCCTACCGTTTTGTTTTCCCTTAGCCCCTAGGTATTTCCCCATGCCACTGTAATCTTGGGACCACCTGGTTTACTGCCCTGGTGAACATGTCCCTTTAAATTATGACAACTATCCAGGAGGAAGCTGTTCTGCAAGGAGTTGTACCTAACTGGTACATATCACTGCACTCCAGGTGAAGGTCAGGTAAGTGATAAGTCAGCAGGAGCTGGGTTTACCAAGAGCAGGAGCAGCAAGTCAGAGCAGGAACCCCCTTCCCAGCATGCGTGGGGGCTTGGCAGGAGCCGTGGGCTGGTACACTGGGAGAGAAAAGGTCATGGGGTTGAGGCATTTCTGGAAAGCACAATCACTTTTCTTTCATTGTCCAAGAAAAACTGTGGGCTGGTATTATCTCTTTGGAAATGAAACGAAGGGACCAAAGCAGCTTGACGAGAAAAAAATCCCACATGCTTCAGATTTCCTTCCCATTGTGTTCAACAGACGTGACTGAGCTCTGCCTGGGAAGGTTTGGGTGCCTGCAGAGGGAAGTGTGTATGGTACTGGGTTAATAATTTACTGCAAAGTCAGTCAAACAAGCCACAGCATGTGTGTGGTTTTTACTCCCAGATGGCAGAGCAGGGCCCAGCATGCAGCTAGCTCCACCCTGAGCACCCATGGGGGCTGGCAGGTCTGCAGCCTGTGCACCCTGGCCTACAGTATCCACGTCACATCCACATCATTATATGGCTCAGCAAAGGGGTATGAGTGCAGGACAAGCTTAAAAACATGAGTATTCCTCTTTGAACTCCACACATCTCCCAGGAAAGCCAGTTTCCCTAGTTTTGGTAAAGGAAGAAGCTAATTTCAGGTGGCCTTGGGCACCAGTGAATTTCTCCTTCCCACTGGAGCCGAGTCTGGTGCAACTGAGTCTGGGCTTCTCCTGGCAAAG